TACATAGAACAAACAAAAAGAGAGTGGAGACATAACCATATTGCTAATGTTACATATTTAAGTTGAAATTATGAATTTAAATTATTATTACTTAAATGTACAATTGTAGAAGGCTTGATCATTCCCATGATTTTATCATGAGGGCGTAAGGATTTTTCCCATTGTTAATCAGAAGGTATGACATATTAAAATAACAAAATAGTACAATATTTAATAGATACATTTTGTCTAAAACATTTTTAAGAATGCATCTACTGCAGAAAATGAGTTATATCAAATAAATTAAAGAGGTTTAGATTATTAATGAAAATATGTATGTAGAATATAGTATATATTTTCTACTCTATGTGAGATGTATAATCAACATATGACATGGTTCTTGCCCTCAAGGCTTTCATGATCTTAACAGTATTGCCTAAAGGTAAACATAAAATTATAATGTACCTTTTTCATAAGGACAAAAAAAACTATTCTTTAAAAAAAAAATGATTCCTTTCCTAATTACCTAAAATTTTGAATTTTACCCTTAAGAATTTTAGTTTTCAGTATCTTTCAACCCAAAATTATTAACTTTGTAGAATTTTAATAATAGTTGTAATTAGAAACTACAGTTGATTTTATTTCTCAATAAAATCATTTACTAGACCCTTTTTATACTTCTGTATTTTTAACAGTGTCAGGGTTTTGATATATGTTAGAAAATGCCATTTACTAAGCTGTGCATTTTATATCAAACTGTCCAAAAATCATTATATAGGTAAGTATCATAATTTCAGTAATGAAGAAGTTGAGGATCAGACTATTTAATAGTTTGCCCAAGGTTTCATATTCATACAAATACATGATTTGTTGCAAATACTCATCTTTGCTCTAGTACACTTTCACACTTAAAAAAAAAAAGTATATTTAATTAGAGATACCTGTAAGGTAGTGTTATGAGAATCACAAAGAAAATCTACACTAATAAAAGGGAAACATGGTAATTAGCGTACGACCGCTACCCTTCCCATTGGCTAATCAGCATATCCTTATGCAAATTAACTGTCAGCCAAGATGGCAGCCGGCAGCCATGC